CGAAAAGACAGCGGCACGTCGCACGTCAACAATATGGCAGCAAGTACAGTCTCTGTAGATACGCTGTTCAGAAAGCCCGGGACAGTCAAATGATCAGGGATTTAGCAGGTAAGCTCGCGAGCAGACCCTGTGCAAGTTTCTCTGCACCATAATTGCTATGTAATCACTCTAGTTATGCAAATAAAACAAAATCTTACGGTCATGACAACCCAGATCCTATGAGAGTGAAGAGCGCGGCTGAAAACCTATGCGAACACAATCTTCAACAATATAATTCGTCTATGCTAGCGACAAATTTTCCACTTTATGGCCAGAACGGCGACCCTTTCGTCCAGATCTGCGAGGCCAAGAATTGAACAAGTGGTTGATCTCCTGACTAGTATTCAGAAGGCAATAGGTTTATCGCGAGCAATCTTCCACAGCAGTATTCCATGTGAAAGCTAGATAGCTAGAAAATCCCACTGGGAGATTTTTATGATCCTTTTCATGATATTAAGCAAGCATAATATGACTTAAAAGTAAAACAGCAATACCTAACTCGACAACGTGGACGTACAGCACTAACCTTCAATAATGTTCTCTTTCAAGAACACTCGTTGCTCTAATCGGAACTTGTCGATTTTCTCGCTGGACGTGAAATTGATTTCCCGTGATACGGTGCGACATTTGAGTATGCTCTTTGGAACGTGTGCTGAATCGGTTCTATTCGTGGTCAAGAGCTACTGTAATGATAACGACAATAACCAACCTTCGTGCTCGTGGTGAGGGTCAGCCATGTCTTCAGTGCTCTGCCACAATATCCGCCCACTCTCTGCATCTCGCAAATTCATCCAGTTCCTGAACTTTTAGTCTCGAGATTATTACCTTGAAGGCAGTTGGCACAATATATCGCCAAGACGAGTAGGACTGAAACGCCTGGCAGGATCGAAATCCACGCGCCTGAGCAGGCGCTGCGTTACAGCTTTTCCAGAGATGGGACTTATAAAGCCCCTATCAAGTTAACCGTACCGGACGCCCACCGCCCGCCCACAAATGGACGACCGTACCTGATGCTCGTATTGCTTCATTTGCGAAGTAAAATATGAAGCGAAGGGATTGATATGAAGCGGCTGCGGTGCTGGATATATGAGTACATACGTGCAGCCGTATCTCCCGGCGGTTATTGGCACGATGCCAACGGGAATCTCGTCCGAATTTGCTTTCTCAGCCGTATGGAACAAGGGACTTTGTAACAGGTTATTGACTGGTTCACTTCGTTCTTTCGCCATTTTCCCACTATATAGTACCCGGCTAATAGTCTAGGTATCGCAGAGCGTGGAAAAGGTAACAAAAGGAGCAGCCAGCTCGCGCAATAAGGGCTAATCTTGCGCAGATTTGGAGCATAGAAAATTCACGGTGAAGACAACAGTCCGCTCGCACCGAGTGATTCAGTATGCTACAAGTCTTTGGGGTGCGAGCTGCGTTCTGCATTTTGAGCCCTGTGTTAGCGCTCATGGGCATCTTGATGGGTATTTCCACTTCACAATTTGAAAGGCCATCTGAGAATTCGCATCGGCCTTCTCGCTTTACACGTCCCGTGTGATCTTCGCTGCGGAGATGCGAGATTATTCTGAAGTTAACATATTATACTGGTTGGTTGCCACTGAGCTCATGCTTGAAAACTCCCTGACATTTATTAGAGTTTATATCATATCAGTGTCAGCTGGCCCACCAGAGCACAATGGAACTTTACTGAGATCACGCCCAGTTTGGAATGATTTTTATTATTCTGAACCACATGCTGACATGTGACTTTGATATATTCTTAAAGCTACTAGGCAACACTAAAGGTACAACCCAACGTAGATCTTTGAGCAAGTATAGGCCCTGGCACCACTGCTTCCACCGTCGCCAGCTTAGGGATAAATACCTTTTGCTGCGTTCATTTCACGAAGTAAATGAAACCGCAGCTCTGGTAATCTGCCACTTTTCGCACTCCAAAAGGCACGAAACGAGGCTTTAGGGTGGACTAGAGTGGCGCTCGTGAATCCACACTCGGTACGCTCGAGATGCAGCTCTTGCACAGATACCAAAGCTCCAGCTCCAGTCAATACGCCGTCAGATGTAAAGAAAAACCAGGAATGAGAGAGTGAATTCAAGCAGCGCGTTTGGCCATGCTCGTGGCTGGCCGTGCAGCAGTGCGGCCGAGTACGGAGTCGGGTACACTAAACTCCATCCCTTCGTGCAGTTTGAGAGGAGTTTTGAGAGGTTTTGGCACGCCACTGCAGCCGTGGACGCATTCGACGTCAATGTGCAGTTTGTCTTTGAGCCATGTACCGTCGAGCTCAAGAAGGCTTATAGCATTTGGCCTGGAGCACTATCCTGTCAGTAGTGTGCTATTCCGTTGGGACACTTCCTGTGCTGTGAATGACAAGTCGTTCTCGGGGGATCTCGCTGTTATTCATGATTTGTCTCTCACTCCCCGACCCCTCGATCGTCATTGGAACAAGAATCTCACGTAGTTAGTGCGGCGCCTTCTGATGATACCGTGATTGCGTAGGTGTGAGCACCCACTTACAAACTTCCGCCTTTAGACGCACTGTTTCCACAAGCACGGGGCCTATTTGCCTTCCTCTTCCCCTCCCTGTTCCACCGCTGGTGTGCTCTCATTCGGTGCAAAGTTGGTAAAGGAAGTAAGAGAGAGGGAAGAAATGAAGCTGATGAAATGAAGAGAACTGTTAACATTTGGATGGATCGCTAATGAATTGAGAGTATAAGAGACCTAAAGCGAAACTATGAAAACATGAGAAGTCTAGTGACAAATTCCAACAGATCCAAAGTTAGCAAATCTAACACACGAACTACAAACAGGAAATCTATGCTCATGGAATGCTTGTGGGTAAAGGAACCGGAAGAAAATCAGCAGAAAAATAAAATTCATACGGCACTGATTGGATTCCCTGTTAGTTACGCCAAGCAACAGATTCCCGCTTATTTTCATAGGGATAATTCAAATACGTCTTCTCGAGTGAAGGGTAGATTTTGTGAATCTCATGAGAAGTGCGGTGAGAAAGTGCCTATAGCAAATATCTTGAAAATTCTCGAGATATGGTAGGCCGTGGCTGCATACTTCAACGAAATGTGGCGGTGACTGTGCTTTCGATAGAGATTTTCACAACTGTGGACTGTTCAACACAGAACAAGATGACAGTCGCCTCAAACTGAATTCCCACGAGCAACCCATTCTATGCCATGCCCGCTTACTCCATTTAGGGATGAGGAGTGTATGAGCACTGCGAACTTCAAAGGGAGATTCGAGCGTCACAAGCACAGAGTGATGCCTGGAAAAGGCGGACCAGCAAAAAAGCACGAAGCTGATTAGAAGCGAGGACGTGAGAAAGATGGGCGCTGTGGACGCACATAGATAATCTGATCATCCTAAAAAAAGGCTAGAGTACGCAGTTCTTTTTGTCTAGGTACACTTCGCAGTTGTGAAACTGGCGCACCCTGATCGCATTCCGAGTTTCCGCCCAAAGAGAAGAGCCAGATCAATCAGGAATGATTTTCACGATTGACGTGCAAAGAATACTGAGTTATTAGGTTGTCTGGAAAAGTCTCAG